ACTTATGTGAGTAGATAAATGGGTACTCTCACCCCGGTGGGAGGAAAAATGCTGGCGGAGCCTTGCAAAGGAGACGGGACCAGTTGCCAGTAACGCAGAAGCCATGCACATCCGAAAAAGGCGCGAAGCAACAGAAACCCCGCCTCCTGCGCTTGCCAGCTTGGTTCTGCTCTAGGAAGAAGGCAATGGCAAACCACTTCCGAAACACCTTGCCTTGAAAACTGCAGGGGCTCGTCCAGGCAGTCGCCGCAGAATTGGTAATGATTGAGTGCGGATTAAAAAAAAATAATGGAAAATGGGATTAATTTCATACATACCTGCCATGCCAGCAGCTGCCCAGGATCAAGTTCAGCAGCCTTCTTGTATGCACCTTGGGCTTGTTCGGGTTGTTCTAATTCAGCAGCTGCCAGGCCAATGAATACCCAAGCATTATAATTGTTTTTTTCTTGTTTCAATACTGCCTATTAAATAGAAATTCAAGTGAAAACATGAAGTATCCTTTTTGCAATTCAGATATACATTTATTAAACGACTTAATAGCTGAAAAAGTCTTATTCAGATTCACTGTCCTAGACTATGCATTACCTTACCCAAAAATTCAGAGTAACTTACCATCTAAAACTACGGAAGAGTCTTGATTGCAGGAAATATGTTCTGGATGGCTCAATGCTCCAGACTCAATTCCCAGCATTTTCACTATATATAGGATTGCTGGTGGAAAAACATCCTACCACTGCCAGTCTCTGAGGACAGTACTAAACCAACTAACAACCTAGCTCAGTAGTTGGGTTCACAAATGATGCTAAACTAAACAATAATGCCATATGCTTCCATGTGGCTTAATATGTTATATGAACCCAACCACTGTAGTCTGTAAACTGATTGTGGCTAATTCAACAAAGTAGGTTAAATAAACCTATAGCTTAATATAATGAACCAGGAAGTTTTATATAGTTATAAAGGAAAAACAAATCCCAAAGGATAGGATCAGAAAGCTATTGTACTGCTGCATACAATAGCATGGCAGGAGATAAAAGAATACACAGCAAAAGAGAAAGAGGAATAACCATACAAGTTTGTTGAATGGCAAAGATAATCCCCTAAAGGGTATCAGAGATAGTTATAGTACAGTGGTACCTCGGGATACGAACTTAATCCGTTCAG